CTCTCTCTCCCTCTCCCTCTCTCTCTCTCTCTCTCCCCTCCCCTCTCTCTCTGTCTTTCTCTGCATGAACACAACAGGGTCAGTCTTGTGCATGACTCCTGCTAGCAGTCTTGGTAGGTCCCGACCTTCCCTTTGCTCTCTCACGCACATTGTTTGATGTAGGTGGGGGGTGGCTGGAGTGGGATGAGTGGGCAATATCTGCAGCCCTTGCAGGTGAGACAAAAGGTCATCGCTTCACTGCCTCCTGCGGCGGTGATGAAACCTTTTCGGGAAATTGTCCTTAAACCGTGCATTTCTTCACACTGGGATACGAAATGAATTTTGTGTCACCTGAAAGAGTTGTTATTGTCTCCTTACTGACTTTCTTGCTAATGACTGATTGTTGTATGATTAAAATGTTACCGTAGATGAAAATGCTACAGCTGTAGGACAGCCACTGTCTGTTTGCTGTGCTGTGTTGATCAGGAAATTTATATCAGTTTCCCAGAGAAATTACGCGAGGCTGGAGCTTTTGTCTCTGCAAAAAAAGGGGGATGGGAATTTAAAACAAGTGTTAGTCAGCTAAACAGCCTGTTTAAAATTCAAAACTGGTGATATGATGACAAAGGCCCTGTTCAGGCCTGGTATTAACATCTGTCCTGACTGATCTGATCGCAAGTAAGCAGTTCTAAGTTAGTCATTTCACACCTGGCATTAGAATATGTCTTCTCCGCTCTGTATGCAAATAAACACTAATTTCTGTTCACATTGACCAAAGATGTTGTTTTTAGCCAGTCTGACTGTACAGATGTGTCATGGTGTGTCGGTATGAGAGAGCGAGAGCCGAGCCAGGAGCGGCTGAGCGGCTTTACAAAGAAACGAAAGAAAATTCAATTAAAAATCATCAGTGTTGAGGCCACAAATAAATCGATGTATGAGAATCATTATGAAACCTTGGCCCAGGACACTGCTGGGTGATCGGATCTGAAATGCATCCTCAGTGTGTTCACACCTTATACTGTATATGAAGAGCATTTCGAATACCAGGTCTGAACAGGGTCTAAGAATCATTTCCAACCTCCTGGGCATCTTCCTGCAGTTCATCTTGTCGGCCCACAGGGATTAAAACAAATACAATTCCCATCATTCCCATCTACCAAAAAATACACTTGATTCATTGTGTTTGGCGTCTCGTGGCCCGTTCACCTCTCTGGGAAAAACAGCAAACTGATTTTCCGTATAAATTTCCGTACTTGTGATTGTAATCAGCTTCTCTCCTCTTTGTTTTTTTTTGTTATTTTCTTTCTCCCATGCTCTCTTTTTTCTTTCTTTCTGTCCTCCTTGCTTTGCCTTGTGAATGGTTGCATGCCATCTGCCGGTGTAACCCTAACGATGGCTTGCTGGCTCTCTGTAACATCCGCCACCGCCATCAACAACAACAACAACAACAACAACAACAACAACAAACGATACCGTCGACACACGCGCATCACAACTGTTGCCATGGTTACCGTAATGCTCCACCTACCTGTCCATTGCTGCCACCCCCTTCCCCTCTTCCCCATTCCTCCCTCCCTCCCCACCTCCCCTCTCCGTTCTTCCCTCGAAACAAAGTCCCAATGATGTACAGTGCTACGCCTGCTACTGTCTCTGCAGCAACAACTCCTGCCACAAGTGTCCCCTACGCAGCAACAGCACCAGCCAATCAGGTTTGCTCCTTTTAAAGCTTTCTTTCATCAGTCCCCGGAGCTCTGAATAAGTGCTGCCGTCCAAATAAGCCGCAATAACCTGCAGCTGAGTCGTAGCCCACACCCAGCCCCTCCCGGTCCGCGCTCGTAGCTGCACTGGGCGAGCTCGCACTGGCATGAAAGCCAGCGTGTGGGCATTTTCAGATTTAAAAGTGGAGGGGCTACCACCTAGGGTATCATATTTCATACAAAATAACCCCCAACATGCACTTCTTCAGAGCTCCCACATTTGCAAAAGTAGTAGTTGTGTTGTGTTGCACTACTTCCTGATTTTGTTTTGCATGTTCTGTTTTCTTTTAAGTTTTCTTTTCCACTTTTCTTGTTGTCGTCAAATAAGCCTCTCCATCTGCAGCAGCGGCGTCATCTGTACTGCTTGTGTGCTCTTGCAAACACAAATACACTCAGACAATTCCTTCTGGCTGGTCCGAAACAGCCGCCCTGTTGGATACTTCCTCCCCAGTTTTGACCTTTTTCAAGTTGTGGGATAAAAAAAGGGGGAGAATAAACGTGAGTTATGAGCCAGACTTGTCAGGGAGAGGTGATGCAGGAAAAACGATCACAGAAGTTGTCTAAAACCGGCCTTTGATCGGCGGCTCTCCGGTTGCTGCTCGTCAGCAGGAGCCAGGAAAGCGGCGCCAGGTTTGAATGCCACAGTGACACAAGTGTGCCCCATTTTAAACCTGGAAATTTCAGCACAATGGTGGCGCTCCGGCCTCATGCAGCTGGTAATCATTTACTGGCAGAGGTGTGTTTAAGGCACACAGTATAAGTGGGGAAACATCATGTCAGAGTGCAGAATTGACCACTGTGGGCCATGTAGCAATTACTTTTCCGAGAGACTTCTCCACGTTGTCGAGAGCGTCGCCTAATTTTATAATCTCCACTTGCTCTCACCAGTGTCCAGAGAGAAGGGTTCTAAAATTCTAAAATGACAATTGGTTATTTTAACGTCCCCAAGAAAACCTTAAAAAACATGATCCCTGTGTAAAAAAGAGAAAATGAACCATTCCTCCCGAAATCCCCTCTGGCCACGGTACCTTGTGCTTTATTGGCCCTCACAGCCCGCCAGTGTCTGCACTTCCTGTGAGTCACCCACCGTCTCTTCCTGTAATTGGCATGCAGCAGCAGTAGCAGCAGGAAGCAGAGCTGCTCTTTAAAGATGCATGTGGGACAAGGAGCTGGAGAAACACTGACGTCAGCCCCTCGCTGTCTGTCTCCCTCTGCTCCCCTCTCTCTCTCTCTCTCTCTCTCTCTCTCTCTCCCGTTCCCTCTCTCCTCTCCTCTCCCCGCCCTGCGTACAGATCTCCAGCCAGGACACAGTTAACACGTATAATCACCAGCTGTGCTGCACACAGTACACGCCTTGTTCAGTACAGTCATCACCACCATATGGCTTTTTTCAGAGTAAACACCCATGCAATGATTTTATTTATTCTAAATTAAGGCCACATGATGCTGACGTCATTGTTTTTGAGTTTATTGGTTGAGGTGTTTAGATAAAATGAAACAGACGATGCGTAGAGGGGACAGGACATTCCAGACATGTTGATAGGTTCAGAGTTTGGTCACTTCATGACCCTCTGAAATGTCACCGTGACGCGACAAGTAGCCAACCAATCACATCATCCCGGGGTGGCGGCGCCGGGGTGTCTCTCACCGCTTCTATGGGGGATTGTAAAGTTGCAGCATCCTCTTCTGTCAGAATATGGTATTACATCACAGGCAACATGAGGAGGAGGAGGCCTTAGATCCCTGTTCTTATCCCAGTCACTAAAGTATAATGTAATAATAATTTGATATTTTTAATTTGCCTTAAAATTAGAATTTTGTAACACTGGTTTAATTATCCAACTAGCTTCTTCACCTCCTGTCATCCTCTCGCTGTTACTGTCACTGCACAGAATCAAACCTCCGAACAGTTCTTAGCGTTTGTTTTTACCCGCCTGTGCTGCCAGAGGGGTGGGGGGTGTTCACCTTCACATCTTGCTGACCCCACCTGTCTGACACATTTCATTTTCACTCAGATTTCCATACTGCGCTCTGGAGCATGTTGTGCTGTCTGTGCACATCACTCAGTCTGTGGTGTGTGTGTGTGTGACCAGTGGCTTCTGTCTCATCGTCTGTTAACAAGCAGCTTTGTTCTTCTGCCTGCCCCCTCTTCTTCTTCTTTCTCCTCTTCCCCTTCCTCCTCCTCCTCTTTGTCCTCTTCCTCTTTTTCTTCTTCCTCCTCCTTGTCTTCATCTTCCTCTTTCTTTTACTCCTGCTTCTTCTCACTCCTCCTCTTCTTCTTCTTATTCCTCCTCCTCCTCTTCTTCTTCCCCTTACTCCTCTTCCTCCCCTCCTTCTTCCTCTTCTTCTTCATCTTCTTATCCTTCTTCAGTATGTTTTTATCTTTTAATTCACTGTCACACAGTCGTGGTAGTGTAGACTTTGAACACAGTGTATTACTTGATATTTTACATGTGAGCAAATGAACTAAATTCGTTGTTTTCGCTCACTTCTTTCCCCTCTTCTGTCTCCCTCCTGCAGATTATCCTGAAATAAGCGTCAGGATGGGAATGGAGTGTCACAAAGCTGCACTAGGAAACCCAAAACAGCCCCAGTGTAAATACTACCTGACCTCTCCCATAGAGGTCCAGCAACCTGCATGCTAAGAGTGTAACACTTCAATTTAACCATACGAACTGCAGTGCCGGTGAAACACACACACAGAAAAAAGATATATACTGTATGTATTGCTAGAAAAAAAACTATTAACATGAAAAAGTCAAAAATATTCTTATGTATTATAGCAGACACACTATAGAGGTCATTTTAACAAATGTTCTCCCAAAGTACCGTCGACCCCCCTCTCTTTCATATTTATTCTAAAAACCTCTGCACAACAACGTTCACCCCCTTTGGTTAGTAAAAGAATCAAGATGCTTGATTTGCACTGTATGAAAAAACAGGAAGAGTCACAGGAAACCCGTGCACAGCCACACCGACGCACTCGGCGAGGGGTTTTCAAAAGTCTTGCGGTCTTTGCTTTTTTCTCGCCATGAAGATGAATGTCCCTGGGGACAGACAGGCTCGTGTGTCCTCAACATGTGACTGTCCCCTGCGAGGGTCCCTCCGCAGCCCTCACCCGCCCCAGAAGCTGTTGCGATGCCATGATGAAGCTCATCCTCCCCGCCTTGCCCCTCCCCTTTCGCCAACTTCTCATCCCAGGAAACCATCTTGCCAAAGTCGCGGCTCGGGAGAGGTCGATGGAATCACCGCCGCCCGAATAAAAAAAGAGCCACACTAGCACCCAGACAAATTCTTCTCTTTTGTTTTCTTTTGCCATAGCGAGAAGCTGCTTGGAACGCGCCCTTTATTTGTTTCGACGCTGGGTTCGGCTCTTTGTCGAGGAGGAGCAGTGGGGTAGATTGTGCACGGATTTTTGCATGCAGTCAGGAACAGGGGAAGACAGTGCCCAGTGTTGACAGAAGATAGTTGTGGCCATTACTGAAAAGCCTAAAGGCTCGGGTCTGTGCCAAGGGCTTAACAAAGCTTGACGGTTCGTCCCAGACATACCAAGCCTTGTGTGTGTGTGTGTGTGTGTGTGTGTGTGTGTGTATATGTGTGTGTTTCGTATCTGGAGACTGATGGTCTGCCGGCAGACTGGGACTTGAGGCGAGGTCTAGCAGGTGACGACAACACCAGGCCTGGTAGAGAGTCTTTTCGAGGGGTGGGTGAAGGATTTAAGTGCTAAGACTAAACAAAAAACGGTGCATTTGACGACGCTCGTCAAGAAAAAAAAACAAAAACAAAAAAAGATGACTTGAACTTCGACTGGAGGGCTATCTGTGACCGTCGGTTGTCCTGTCCAACCCTACTATCACCGATAATCCTGTTCCATTTTAGAAAACTCGTAGAAGTGCCTAAAAAATGCTCATCGACTCAACAACACGTGCATCCGGAGTGTATCACTAAAAGTCACAGACGCAAACACACACCGTCAGAACATGGACCTTTTTTTTTTCCCGGGGAAATAACATCACACTTTCTCAGTTCCCGGAGGCGGTCTCCGCTTCGTCGACATCACAAGTGACTTAACGAAGTGACGAAAACAAAAAGAAGTTGAAGAAACGACAAATCAAAACATAGCTTTGTAGAATGTTTGGTGACTTTCATGGTGTACCATTGTTTCTTACCATGGTTTGAGTAGTTTACATGAGGAACGTGAGTGAGAAAAAAAAAACATGTATTGTAAACTGTGTAATGTATGTAAGGTGTCTCTTATTTTGAGAGTTTATATTCATAGTTTTAGAAATATATTCAAAGTTATTTAAAATTTTGTGTTGTGTCTCCTATCGAGGTATGTTACGACCCCCCCATAAACCCCCACCACCACCTCCACCCCCCAGAACAATCACGTTTAGATCATAAAGTGTTATTTTATTATTTGAGACCCTCTTTAGCCTGTTCGAACTCATTATACTAAATTTTATTCTCCTTTTTCTTTTTCAAAAAAAATCTGATGTAATTTCATGGTGCTTGATTAACATTGACAATCCACAATCAGACCTTTTCGGAAACGCCTCACTCGAGTTTCCGCATTTTCACTTCGACTCGTCTCCACGTGAATTTCTTTTTTGTTTTGATTCGTGTGTAATATCCGTGGCAGGTGGTGAAAGCTTCTATTTTGTTGTAATTTATCTTGTGTTACTCTTGGTCAAATTTTAGTTGGAAAAAAAGAAATGTTGTAAACTATTCTATTTTGAGATGAATGTAATTTATTGAGCTGTGCTACGTCACTGCACGGTTGGTCATTTCAAGGTCTAACCTGTCAGGTCAGCGAATGAGAAGTCGGGGGGCGGGGCGGCGTTTAAAAAAGTCGACCCGCCAATAGAAAGCTACTGGATCTCTCTTGCCTTGTCATTGATAAAAAAATTAAAAAATCACGGTGTCGCAGTAATGAGCATAGTTATAGACTCGTCTGTGTTGTTGGAAAAAAAAAAATGTTTATTGTATAGATGACATTTTACCAAAAAAAAAAGAGAATAAAATTTCAAAAAAGATGTACTTTTCACTCTAGTATAATAGTATTTCATAACAATATTAAGTTGTTGCTGTGGCAACCAAATGTTGCAATTACTAAAGTTCGGTATTTTTGTAAATGACATTGTTAAGTTTCTTCTTTTTTTTTTTTTTTTTTTGCTAGAACACTGTACACACGGTAGATTGTAAAGAAGATACGAACATTTCTTATTCTTCACTGAGATTACGACAATGACCTAATATTTTCATTAGCGAATAACAGCCTCTGTAGTGCTGTGACCGTAACACTTAAATAGATTAAAAGTCATCAATGTTACATAGATTATATATATAAATATATATATATATAAGAACTAAATAATCTATAAATTAATAAGTTGAGATGTACAGCTCCTCCCCTGACAAAGGACCTTGAGGTTCCACTCTGAGACATTTTATTCGAGGCGTATGTATCACTAGAGTTAAGGATTGCACTTTTCATAATGTTTAAAGATGTGATCTGTTTTTTTTTTTTGTTTCCTCTGCTACTACAACAAATCTGTTTATCAATCAAAAGCAGATAACACACAGTGAATAACTTTAATTCAACATGTTGCATGGGAAAAACAATCTTTTTTTTCTTTTCTTACTAAATGATACTGAATGTTACTAGTGAAAAAAAACACACACGTCTGTACACAACACGTCCTCAATTGGTTACCCACGATGCCCCTGTGTATGGAATCTTCTTGAGACGTGATGTTTTTAGAAATGTGTCGGCGGTGATTGACTGATGATGGTTTTAAAACAAAAAAAGAAGAAAAGAACATGTAAGCACTTTCTGAGCAGTTGGCCAACTGAGCAGACTCAGCTTATCCAAACACTTTGCCTTATCTTGAGTCCATCGTGCTTGAAGGTTTTCTGTTTTTAAAAGCTCTTAATGAAATTTATTCAAAGAGACGTGAAGGCGTCTCTCTCCCCGAATCCCTCCTCGATTTAATTCCGAACCTTTATATCAAAATTTTTTAAGTTGGCCAAAAGACGGCGACTGCAGCAGAGTGAACAGTCTCCTGAACGTTACCTCCGGTCTCCCAAAGATCTGTAGTGACATCTTTTTATTTTTGTCCCATTGCCTCACAATGGAACAGTTTGGATTTGTAACTCACAGCTTTAGCCAGCAGAGGGCACTACAGTGGAGACTGCAGGTGACGGGCGGTGACTGCCTGTGCCATCGATGTTGCAGTGCAGCCAAGATAAATTGACCCTCATCGGATTTATAGTTTCAATGTAATCGTTTCTTAATGTATTCTTTTGCATATATTTTGTGCTATTTTATGTTTCTATAGTCCAATGTTCCTTTGGTTCCAGCGAGATAGTGTAAAATCTATTGGAAGACAGAAATAAAGAAAATCAAAGGATTTCTGGGTCTGTTCTTTATTTAAAATGTTACATCATCTACATGTAAAACATGCATTGTGTTTATTCAAAGATCTCATCCACCTTCACATTTTAGAAATGGCACATGTTTGTTTTTAGGTGCTTTACAAATCAACTTTTAGTGGTTTTGGAGTTTGAAAAAAGGTCAACAGGAAATATTTTAGTTTTATAGATAGATAAACAGATAGACTGATAGACAGACAGACTGATAGATAGATAGACAGACAGATAGACTGATAGATAGACTGATAGATAGATAAACAGATAGACTGATAGATAGATAGATTGATAGACAGATAGATGGATAGATAGATAAACAGATAGATGGATAGATAGATAGATAAACAGATAGACAGATAGATAGATAAACAGATAGACTGATAGATAGACAGACAGACAGACTGATAGATGGATAAACAGATAGCCTGATAGATAGATAGATTGATAGATAGATAAACAGATAGACTGATAGACTGATAAACAGATAGACGGATAGATAGATAGATAAACAGATAGACAGATAGATAGATAAACAGATAGACTGATAAACAGATAGACGGATAGATAGATAGATAGATAGATAAAGAGATAGAAAGACTGATAGATAGACAGACAGACAGACAGATAGATAGACTGATAGATAGACTCATAGATAGACAGACAGACAGACTGATAGATGGATAAACAGATAGCCTGATAGATAGATAAACAGATAGACGGATAGATAGATAGATTGATAGACAGATAGATGGATAAACAGATAGACTGATAGATAGATAAACAGATAGACGGATAGATAGATAGATTGATAGATAGATAGATAGATAGATAGATAAACAGATAGACTGATAGATAGATAAACAGATAGACGGATAGATAGATAAACAGATAGACTGATAGATAGATAAACAGATAGATAGATGGATAGATAGACAGATAGATGGATAGAGGTCACTCATGCTAAGACCCATTTAAAGGGGAGCCCCCTGACTCACTAATACGTGCTGAGACTCCTCATGACCTTGCTGATGGGCGAGTGCAGGAGACTCATCTCTCACCTGGAATGGGCGCTTGACCTAGTTTCCACGGCAACTGCAGAGACCTTCCTGGAGAGAACGATGACATCATCACATGTCTCAGCGCACGGCCCAATGAACAGCAGCATGAGTGTGCACCAGAGTGACACAGACCTCCAGCAGCCAGACGATTCCTGTCCATCAGACGTTAGGACAGAAACAGAGTTTTTGACTAAACTAGATAGATGGATAGATGGATAAATAGATAGATTGATTCAGTGGGGGTGTACAGGGACATTAAAACCAACAGACAAAATAAAAAGAAAACAATTTTCAAGCAAAATAAAAGAGATTGAATAGAATTGTAGTATAACGGGTGAAATATAAGAGGTTTAAAATGATAAATCTGCAGGAAATGCTTTGAATAATAATAAAGAAGGAGGAAGTGTTTCCAACACTTAAACTTTCTGTGGCCAATAACGGCCACACTGTAATACTTCAAACTGTAAATATCTATTTTTCATATTGTACAATCATTTTCCTGTTTTTATGCTCAAACACACCGCAGCAAATTCCATGATTGTGCATCCACCCCTGCCCACCCTCTGCTGTGTGTGTGTGTGTGTGTGTGTGTGTGTGTGTGTGTGTGTGTGTGTGTGTGTGTGTGTGTGTGTGTGTGTGTGTGCGTGGCACTGATCGCCTCCCATACCGTCCAGGAAATAGACGGATCCGGGGGATGCAGCAGTTCCAGAGGCGTGGATTCCCACTGTTGTCTCCTCCAGGACGAAGCCGGCTCTTGCAGCAGAGAAATGCGGCGCTAGCCCGCTGTCCGGCCGGCACAGCAAAAGATGCGCCGTCCGGTGGTTTCTAATAATAGCCGATCTTATTTGTACCACGCCTTATTGCATTATGGATGCCTGTGGAATGGTGTCCCTTCGAGGTAGCGTGGGAACATCTCAGTGAGTCTGTCTCGGCTCATCACCCACCGGAGGATCCACCGCGCCTAGCCCGAGTCCAGGCTCCTGTGCGCGGGGATGCGTCCCTTCTAGCCGCCGCTGACGCCTTGGTTCCCCCTGCACATGCCGGAGCGCGATGCGGGAGTATAAGGTGGTGGTGCTGGGCAGCGGCGGCGTGGGCAAGTCCGCCCTCACCGTGCAGTTCGTCACCGGGACATTCATCGAGAAGTACGACCCCACCATCGAGGATTTCTACAGAAAGGAGATCGAGGTGGACTCCTCCCCGTCCGTGCTAGAGATCCTGGACACGGCCGGCACCGAGCAGTTCGCCTCCATGAGGGACCTCTACATCAGGAACGGCCAGGGCTTCATCCTGGTCTACAGCCTGGTCAACCAGCAAAGTTTCCAGGACATCAAGCCCATGAGAGACCAGATCATCCGGGTGAAGAGGTGAGATACTGTCCTCTTTGCTGTCTAGTCTAATATAAATACTCTCAAAGACAAAGGGTGATGGGAAATGTTTTAGGCCCCTTAGCTACTTCCTGGCTCCCACAAGATGGTTTTGAAAAAGTTACAATCATAATATTTGAATCGAATCCTTACATCACATTATTTTTTATATTTGTATACGATATTTTAATGTATTTAGAAATGAAACAGTGAAATGAAGCTGTTGAGCCATTTGTAATCTTGCTGTAGTTCCCCCTGGAACCTCCCGAGAGCCCCTAAAAGTGAACCCCTACTTGGAAAGCACCAAAAACATGGATGGATGGACGGATGGACAGACAGACAGACAGACAGACAGATAGACAGACAGATGGATGGATGGATAGAAAAAACCTACTTCTTCTTTTTAACTCGAGTGATCTCAAACCGCCCCCCCCCCCCTTCCTCTTCCTCTCCTCTTCCCTCTCCTTCGTGAGAATCTGCGACCGGCTCATATGTTCCTCATAAGAGCCCATCTGCGGCTCACCTGTCACACATCAACCCTCTGAACTCCAGCTGGGTTTGATATTCTCGCTCACATGACTAACTCTGGCTCCGATCAGCGCCGTCCATTACTCAACAAACCCACTGAGCTCATCTCAGGACAGAGACAGGCAGAGTGGAAGAAGAGCTTTTATAGATGTGTGTATATATGCATGATTATATATCACAGGTTGCAGGAGGAGAGTTTTTTTTATATAATTAGGTCACATGAGCAACAATGGCAGAAGAGTATTAGCTTTAGAAATCACTTGAGTTGAAGCCTTTGTGTCTGTGATTTATGATACAGTTACAATCCTAGATTTCAGCTTTACTTTGTATTTTGAAGTTGAAAAAATGCCCCTACATCAGGACGTCCTGGGCCTGGTCCACTTGGCTCGAGACTTCGCTGCTCATGAATGTCAACGATCAAAATAAAAGCCTCAAATGATTAGAAATACAATACAAAAACATTCAATTTAAGTATCAGAGAGTCCAGTAGCCTGTTACATTGATCGGTATTCATCTGAGTTTGTTTCTTCATGAGCAGGATTACACAAACACTACCCGACCCTCTTCCTTGAATATTTGCGGTGTGGGTGGAGCCTGACTTAAGGAAAAACTCGACAAATTTTGGTGGTACAATGGAGGACTTCCTGTTTGACCCCAAACCCACTGGACCTGGAGTATTTTCTCACAACAAAGCGACTGAAGTTCATGACGTCTCCTCTGAGAAAATTGAAAGACCAATTCAATTTTAGTACTCGTGGGGAGAAGGTGTAATCTGATCCGAGTCAGTACTTGTGGATTTCTCCTCCCTTAGTCACCTCCTTTTCATCAGTCACATGTTTTCTGAACATCACTCAAGGCCGTGACACATTTATTTACCTCGCTGCATATTGTCTTACAATAATTTATGATTTGATGTTTAGAGTTTGGTGCAGTGCTTTTCCAGCCGCGTCCTCGGGAGTGAGGCGAACGCTCCTGTGTGGCTCAGACGTCACAGGCTGAGTGGAAGCAGCAGAGCGTCACGGCCGTCGAGCCGCAGCAGGGACGGATGCATGAGGGAACTCCTTTGAAATGAATAATATAATGATGGGATAAAACTGCTCTGTCGCCGCCACCCAGAGCAGCTTCCTACACTGCACCAGCCGCCACTGTCCTCAAGTGTGTGTGTGTAAATAATTCATACTTTTATTTCACACTGCTCTGCGTTGGAAGCAGGGATTGTCTCTCTACATGCAAACCTGTGAATAAATAAATTCTCTTGAACATTTCACAGTGACCGAAAAATATA